ATGTGTGATTGTGTGGGTGTGATTGTGTGGGTGTTCCCACCGCCGCCACCAGAGGGCGCTGTTTTTAATCTGTCCTCCAACACCACCAGGGGGCTGTTCTTGTTCGCCCCACCACCACCAGGGGGCGCTGTCCTTATATATATACATATATATATACATGGGCGTTCCATATGTGTGTGTGTGTGTGTGTGTGTGTTCCCACTGCCGCCACCAGAGGGCACTGTTCCCATGTCCTCCCCCCCCCGCCAACCACCACCAGAGGGCGCTGTCTTCGTGTGTCCCCCACACAACCACCATTAGGCGCCGCTGTCCTCATGTGTCCCCCCACCACCAGGGGGCACAGTCCTTGTGTCCCCCCTCCAAAACCACCACCAGGAGGTGCTGCCTTTATCTCCTTCCCCACACAACCACCCCCACCGGGTGCTGTCCCTGTGCGTCCTCCCACCAACCACCACCACCAGGGGGCGCTGTTGTTACGTGAATCATCCCCACCACCTCCAGGGGGCGCTGTCCCCTCACGTCCCCTACAAAACCACCAGCACCCCCAGGGGCCGCAGTCTTCGTGTGCTCCCACCCCCTGGTGTCCCCACCCCACATGTCCCCCCCCCAGCCCGCACAGCGGGGTCCCCACTCACCCGCATGGCCTCGGCTTCGGCCTCCGCCTGAGTCATCAGCTGCAGCCTGAGGGGGAGGGGCTGCTCAGGGGGCGGGGCCGAGGGGGGCGGGGCCAGGGAAGGGGGCGGGGTTTGGGAGTGAAGGTACAGAGGAATACAGAAGGGCTTTCGGTGGGGGCGGGGCTTTGGGTGGGTTCTCAGGAGAGGTGCGGCCAATGGGTGGCGGGGCTTCTAAAAGGGGGCGTGGCCACCGAAGGGGCGGGGCTTGCAGGGAGCGTGGCACGGTGGGCGGGGCCACAACCTCGTTGAGTGAATGACCAAAGGTGGGCGGGGCCTGGGGCGAGTGGGCGGGGCTTTACAAGGGATGAAGCAACAAGAAGAGGCAGTAACTTAAAAATGCAACACTTGCTTTAAAAGGGCAATGACCCTTGTGGGCCCACCACACAGGGCTGTGGCTTCAGAATGGGCAGAGCAACAAAGCGTAACCACTTAAAGGGGCAACGCTTGCCTTAAAAGGGCAATGCCCGGGGACCAGCAGACATGGATGTGATGCGCATGGAGTGAGCATGGCTTCCAAATAGGGGGCGTGGCTTATGGGATGAGAGGTGTGGCTGGCAGGTAGGGGGCGGGGCTTACAGGTAGGGGGTGTGGCTTCCACCTAGGGGTGTAACTTGCACGTGGTGGGCGTGGCTTACAAGTGGTGGGCGTGGCTTACGGGTAGGGGAGTGGCTTGCAGGTGGTGGGTGTGGCTTACAAGTAGTGGGTGTGGCTTCCAGGTCTGGGTGTGGCTTACGGGTAGGGGTGTGGCTTACAGGTGGTGGGCGTGGCTTACAGGTAGGGGCGTGGTTTGCAGGTCGTGGTGTGACTTCCAGATAGGGGCGTGGCTTGCGGGTGGTGGGCGTGGCTTACGGGTATTGGCCACAACTCATGGGCAGTGGGCGTGGCTTACGAGTCGTGGGCGTGGCTTGCGGCAGGGGGCGTGGCTTCGCGGAGGTGGGCGTGGCTTACCTCTCGGCCTCGGCCAGGCGCTCCATGCGGAAGCGCTCGGCCTCGGCGGGTTTCCTGACGGTGGCCTCCAGCTCCCTCTCGCGCCGCCCGATCTCGTGCTCCTGCAGCTGCGCCTGCTGCGCCCGCTCCACCACCAGCACCTGCGCCCGCTGCTCCTCGATCTGCTGCTTCGTCTTCGCCACCTGCGGCCCCAAAACGCCGCGGCTGCGGGGCGGCGCCGCCACGGCACGGGGGTCCCTTTTTTTTGGGGGGGGGGGGGGGTCTGGGTAGACCCAAAGGCGCTGTGGTGGCCCATGAGGGCTTGAGTGGGGATTTTGGGGTCTGTGGGGGGGATCCGGACGCACCTGGGCCGTTTTGGGGAGCTGGGCACCATGGGGGGGAGCTGAGGCTCCCATCGCATCCCAAGGGCCCCGGAAAAGGGACCTATGAGTGCCACGGGGTGACAGCGGCGTCATTTTGGGGGGCCTGGGCATCTTGAGGGGGCGCTGAGGGGCCCAGGGTGACCCAGAGAGCCCAAAAAAGTGACCCGAGTGTCCTGGGGAGGACAGCGGTGACCCTGGGGAGACCCACGCATCGCTGGGGGTCCCTCCTGTCTTCTGGGGTTGTGGGGTGAACTCCAAGGGTCCCAGGTTCCCAAAGGCCCCAGAAAAGGGATCCAGGTGCCCCACTGGGGGACCGCGGTGTTCCTGGGGGGGACCCACACAACCCTGGGGGGTCCCTGGGGTCATTTTGGGGGATCTGGGAGCCACGGAGAAGCAGTGAGGGTTCCAGGGTGTCCCAAAGACCCCATTAAAGCGACCCGGCTGCCCCATGGGGGCATTTTTGGGTACTCAAGTCACACTTAAGAGGTGCTGAGGGTCCCAGGGTGACCCAAAGACCCCATTAAAGGGACCTGGGTGTCCCAATGGGGGGCTGTGGTATTCCTGGGGGGCACCCAGACATCCTGGGGGGACCCTGGGGTTATTTTGGGGTACTTAGGACACACTTAGGGTGCGCTGAGGTTCGCACCGCATCCCAACGACCCCCATTAAAGGGTCCTGCCCATTCTGGGGAGGGGGAAAGGGGGGGGGGCGTCCCAAACCCCGCAAGGCCAGCAGCCACGTGTCGGAGTGTGGGGGGGTGGGGGTCCCGCAGCCCCCCCTGACCTGCAGCTGATAGGCCAGGTCCGCCTGGGCTTTGCGGGCGCTGACGGCGGCGTCGCACTGCGCCTGCTGCAGCTGGAAGTCGCGCTGCGCCTGCGCCATCGCCGTCTCGCTCAGCAGCTGGGCTGAGAGCTGCTCCTGCCGGGCACGGGCCTCCTGTGGG